TATTCTGGCCAATAAAATGTGAGCAAACGTGGTATGTCCCTTTCAGGCAATAGTTTTAACAGCTAGTGTGCAATATACCAGCTTTATTTTCTTTTGCCACAGTCACTAAAAATGCTCAAGTGGTGGCTGTCATCAGCATCGGTCCCAGAATGAACACAACAAAGAGAACCCACAACTGATATGCAATGAGCATGTGTCATAGGAAGAAATAAACCTTGTTGTCTTAAGCCACTGAGATTTTAGGACTTATTATTGCAGAACAATCTAATTTATCTTCATTGATATACAAACTAGAAGTGAGATGCTGCCACAACAAGAACTCCAAAATACTGGATCAGGGATCAAGCAACAAGGAAGCGCCCCCCCCCCCCCCCAACCCCACCCAAGGAAACTTATCAGAGACAGGAGCTCAGCAAATGATCCACATTAAGGAGTAACAAAACATTTGATGAAATTGTCACCACAATAATTTGGAAGTGGCACATACCTAATGAATTTATGACAATGTATCTAGGGGGCTAATGGATGTATTTATACCTTAATAGAAGAGGCTAGAAGACAGGAAGATGAGAACTATGTGAGAGTTGCTGTTGGTTGTGCCTAATGAAATATTAAAAGAAAAGTACTCAAAGAAGAACCACCATCCAAGAGACTAGTGATTCAAACCTTAAAATAATCCTTTAGTCCCCACCTTTGTGGGGTCAGGCGGTAAGCTGAAAAAACTGCTCAGCCATGGGAAGAGCTCATAACCTCCAAAGCCAACTTCAGATGTGGTCAAGGATGATAAAAATGAAAGGGACCTCTTGCAGGGCAAAGCCAAGGACCATGGAGAACTATGCTCTAGAACAGTGGTTCCCAACAATGGGGCACATGCCCCACACAGGGGCAATTTGATTTTTAAGGGGGGCAATTCGAGAATGAGTTATTAACAGTGAATATTTTGCATTTTTTATGCTCCTAAGGGCCTCATATACAGTACATAAATATATATTGTGACATATTTATGCATTTTAGTTCTCTATTATATGTTTTGAAACTTTGCTATTTTTTTTCATATCACTTTGTATTATCATTTTTTAAATAATTTCTTAGTGACTTCTTCCTCAGTACTTCAACTGTCCTTTCATTCTTTTATTTTTTTCTTTCATGGATGCCATGTTCTTTGGAAGCTTGTTTAGACCAAGTTAATGGCCTTTTAGGCTTCCTCCAGGAAAGTTTACTTTTTGAATAATAAGTATATGTCATAGGGGGAGCATCAGGATTTTAGAGATGCTTAGGTGGGACATGGCCAAAAAAGAGTTTGGAACCACTGCTCTAGAGCATGTGTCAGCATATGAACTATCTGTTACTGGTCAATAATAATGAGATCAACATAGAAATTGAGTGTAAATGTTTAGAAGCTTTTATTGCAATTTCACACATTTGCAAATAAAATGCTAAGGGCAACAAAAGTTTTTGTTTGGCACCAAAATATTGAAAGAGCCCCCGGAGGGAAATGAGGACAATGTACCTCAAGGGAAAAACACTGATATTCCTGCTAGTGAGGGGAGGGGGCAAGGATTCACCTTCATATGTTCTGCAGACAGGTGGAGCAGCTGGTGGCCCTCTCCAGCCAGAACAATCCCATTTTGAAATTGGGTCCCGCACACAGTACTCGGCAAATGGTTCAGCTTTAAATGTTTGAAAGACCATTGTGCTAAAGGAATCTGCCCTCCTAGAACAACAATATCCAACCATTGTGCATTTGGACACATTTCCAGTTTTAAAATATCTAGCAACAAGCTTTTCTAGAAGGCCACTGATTCGTTTGCCTTTTATAGGCCTAAATTACCCTTTCGATTAACCAAAAAAGTAACGGTTTTCCCTCTCAACAAAAAGAAGAAATTGACAACTGTAAACATTAAGCAAATTATACCAAGAGCTGTGGGCATCATTCTCTGGGAAAAAGACATGTTTCCTATTTTGCAACAAATGGGGCACTTAATGCTTACAAAGTTCCTGTAAGAGTATTTTGTCAAAAATTAGCTTACTTAAGGTTTAATGCTGCTACTGTAGAACAGAACCTGCTCATTGAACCAGCCTCAAATAAAATGCTGATTAGATCTCATCACAACTTATCATTTAAGAACCAAAGGAGTCAGCATTGTCAACATCTCTCTACTTTACAGCCATTTCAAGATAATTGGGGAAAAATTCTTTATCTCCATCCCCACCCCCTAGCACACATACACCTAAAAAAAGGAGAAAAGAGGAGGGTATCCACAGGTTGCTAGCTCTATCCCCGTAGGAGGCAGCCAATCAATGATTCCCTCTCAGTATATCTCTCTCCCTCTCCCTTCCTCTCTGAAATCAATAAAAATATATATATTTTTTTTAAAGAGGAGGGTATCTATATATATATATATATATATATAATTTAAAGAGGAGGGTATCCAGAGTTGCAATGACACTAGAATAAAAAGTCTTACAATCAAAGACCTAAAACTATCCAGGTATTAAGTATCATTTTAAGTAGATAATATAGGAGAAAAAGAAAAAAACTTCATAGCGAAATTGTATTCATGGCCTAAAATTTGCACCTCATTGATTACAAAAGATACAAAAAACAGGCCATGCCAGAGAACAAGAGGTTCCCCTGATTTTGACAAGTGACTCAAATCCCATAACTCTGAATTCATGCTTAATTTATGTGCTACAGCACATAACTGCAATCAGTTAACTCACTGCTGCCATCGAGCACTGTCCCCTCTCAAGTAGAACTGTAGGGTCCTAACCACATGCTCCAGGAATCCATTACGTTAATTTCTTACACTCCAATAAACATGCGATCCTTCTCAAAAGCGTTGTCGGATTAGGCCTGTGAACTTCTGTAGGCTGCACTGCACAACTGCTCAGCTGACTGTTCCACCTGTGAGATACCACGTAACAGCGCTAGGCCCACACATCTATCCCAGTGTGTCAGCACAGCTAGAAAGAATCCAAAACAGCCCCCACCCCGCAACCTATGAACCAGGAAGTCCAGGTAGGATTCCCATCTGGGCACATACCTGGGTTGTGGGCTCGGTCCCCATTAGAGGGCTGAAGGAGGCAGCCAATCAAATTATTCTCTCTCATCACTGATGTTTCTTTCTATCTCTCTCTCTCTCCCTTCCTCTCTGAAATCAATTAGATAGATAAATAGATAGTCTATAGATGGAGATGGAGATGGAGATAGAGAAAGGGGTGATAGAGATAGAACCCAAAACACACCAGCATCCGGTGCCTGGGGTACAAAACAGACTTTAAAGTTCTCTGTGGATCACTAGCTAGGAAAGAAGGTAGCAACACTCTTCCTGGGCAAAGCATTAGAGCGAAGGATAGTGAAACAGGAAAGGCTGGGTCTTGGCTGCGTCAGTAAATATGCCAGTACCTTTCAGATACTGAATTTGTGGAGTGCCGCTCATTCTAAGAAGAATACAAATTATTTTCTCTTCATAATGCACTATTCTGCTCATTTTATTAGCAATCACCAAAAGAAAGAAAGAAAGAAAGAAAGAAAGAAAGAAAGAAAGAAAGAAGAGAAGAGAAAAGAAGTCAAGAAATGCTATGTGTCAGCCAATACACCTGGGAGATTTATTCATTCCTCACTCATTTACAGCAGTCACAGAACATTTGTTTTGTGTCTCTGGTTTACCACAGACAGGACGAAGGTTGGAAGAATGCATGTGGAATTTAGGGAGCACAGACCATTCCGCTTCTTCCTCTCTAGAATCCATATGAGACAGAGTTCTATTTCTGCCTTTTCCCTAAACTTATGCCTAGCAGAGCATCTGTCTACATTCTAAGTTTCAAAGGGCCACGTTCCCCCTTTTCACACTGCTGGGTCCTCCATCTCATCCTCATACCACTCTTCTCTAAGGGCGGCTCCCGAGGGAGGAAAGAGCCTTACTTAGAACGGGGGTCCCCCTTCGCCTCATTCCATTCCCGCTCCCCTCAAAGGGCTCAGGTTTTCCTCGCCGCTCACGCCGGGAAGGAAGGAAGCAAAATGCCCCTCCTCAGAACCCCGGGGAGGCCCCTTCTAGGCCAAACCCGAGCTCAGCGGGGCGGCCTTTGCTGGGGGAGAGCCGCCTGGGTGAAGCCCCATTCCTGCAGGCAGAGCCCAGAGCCCTGGCCTGGAGGACCCGCGCGGCCACCTACCTGCCCGCGCGCGGCCGCCGGCTCGCGCCCGGCGAAGGAGAGGCAGAAGGCGGGTCCTCGCCCCGCTCACCCCGCAGACGCGCTCGCTACGCCCACTTGCGAGAGTGCAGCGCCCACAGCCGCCACCGCTCAGTGCAATGGGCCTGCAAACACACACACACACACACACAAACACACTCACACACACACATAAAACACACAATCCCGGGGGCTCCTCCCTCTCCTCGTGCTCCCGACGTGAGACCTCTCCAACCAATGGGAAGCACAGAGGGCGGAGCGAGACCCGCCCCAGGTGGCGGGCGACCACCGTGTCCTCCCGCCGGTGCGAACGGGCCGTGCAGTTGCTGGGCCAATCGGCAGCGTGGGTGGGGAGTGCGCGGAGGGGGAGAAGGCGGAGAGCGCAGGCGTCCAATCAGAGCTTGGATCCCCGGAGCGACGGGTCCCGCGGCCCGTGGGCGTCCGAGCTCGGCGCGCTGGGGGCGTGCCCGCCTGGCCCAATCGGCGCGAGCCCAAGGTGCGGAGCGAGCGCCTCAAATGCTCGGGTTTCTCAGCTGATTGTCTCCAGCCGAGAGTTGTTTTTTGCAGCGACCGAGCGGATCCGCAGCAGGAGGAGCCGAGACCCCCGGGGGGGTCGGGTAGAGAAGGCGGGATCGGAGGATCTGCGACTGCTCAGTCGCGAGGCTCCGGGTCCTGTCACGGCGCTTCCTGGGGTTGGAGGTTAGGGTGGGTGGGGGGGTGAGGCACCCATCCTTCTCCCCCTCGACGGCAGCCCCGAGCCCGGCCCCTTCCTTCCCGCGCGCCCTCGCCCTCCCTCCAGCCCCCTCATGAGGGTGTCCGTGCCGGGTCCCGTGGCCGCCGCTGCCGCCGCTCCGGTGGCCGGCCGCGAGCCCTCGACGCCGGGCCAGGGCGGCGGAGGGGAAGGCGCCGTCGCGGCCGCCTCGGGCGCCGCGGTGCCGGGCTCGGTGCAGTTGGCGCTGAGCGTCCTGCACGCCCTGCTCTACGCCGCGCTCTTCGCCTTTGCCTACCTGCAGCTGTGGCGGCTGCTGCTGTACCGCGAGCGGCGGCTGAGTTACCAGAGCCTCTGCCTCTTCCTCTGCCTCCTGTGGGCAGCGCTCAGGACCACCCTCTTCTCCGCCGCCTTCTCGCTGAGCGGCTCCCTGCCTCTGCTCCGGCCGCCCGCCCGCCTGCACTTCTTCCCCCACTGGCTGCTCTACTGCTTCCCCTCCTGCCTCCAGTTCTCCACGCTCTGTCTCCTCAACCTCTACCTGGCGGAGGTAAGGCGGGAGGACCGGCGTGCGGGGCCGGCCGGGCGAGCGCCCCCCCCCCCCCCCTCCAACCCCCGCGAGCAACTCTGAATAGGGACGGGGTGCGGGGTGGGGGGGAGCGGCCCTGAGATGCGGACCCGAGACCAGTCTGGGGAAACTGAGGCACGCCTGGAGGGCGCGCCGGTGTGCTCTCCCTAAACTTGAGCAGCTGATTGATTGACTCGGTTGCGGAGGGGCTGGGGGTGGGGGGGCGGCGGAGGGAGTACGAGTGTGTGTTCTCCCAACTTAAGACTGCAGGACGACCCTTTGTTCGGGGTTCTAGCCCTCGAGGGTTGGGGGGTGGCATCGCCAGAAGTAGCAGCCCCCGGCAGCTCCGCCGAAGCCGGACTGCGCCGAGAGGGGCTGGATGCTGAGGTAGCAGCAGCTCTGCCGAAGCTGGCCTGCTGCCAGCCATTACGTCACCAGGCAGAGCTGTGCCTCTGCTATTGTTGCTGCGTTTCTTTTATTAGAAGCTTATATTCCCTCCTGCATCTCCTTTCCTGTGGCTCGATCAGCCTCGCACAAATCCCGTTCGATCGTTCCCCAGCAGGGTTAATAATCAATCACCAATGCCTGGGGTCAATAGAAAGACCTCCATCAAGCCCTTCATGTTTGCCCCAGTTGCTTCATGCTTTGGCTATTTTTCCTACCTCTTGCAGCCTAGTCTCTCTCTCTCTTTTTTTTTTCTTTTTTTTTTGGAGCTAATTAAGAGAAAATACTAGCTGAATCTGTGCCTATTGCAGAAACAAACCACCAAACTGTTTTTGCAATAACTTGTTTAATAGCTGGGAGCTAATCACACCCCCTTTCTCTTTTATGGGGAATTACTGGTTGGATTGCATTGTTCTGGGGAGCTTAGGTATTTGACCCATTTCAAACAGGTTTGGGAGTGTAAGGTTGTCAATCATGTGTGTCAGCTAGTGGTATTTAAGCCACAGAATTTTGAGAATTGTAGAAAAAGCCCCCCTCCCCATCCTGCAAAAAAAAAAAAAAATAGCTTGCGGAGGGGAGGAAGCAAGGTGACATCATATACTTAATACTGACATAGAACAATATTGGTCTATGCAACTAATCCTCTCAAAGGCTTTGGAGGTGATGAGAATTAACTAGTTATCAGCAAAGGTAAAAACATTTGATGCAGAATCAGTGATTATATTTCTTGCATACATAAACCAACTCTTTTCTCCCATAGTAGATAGAAAGTAGAATGCATAATTTTTAAATCCAGTCCTAACTTCAGCTTTTTAGCACGCTAAAAGCAATAGTTGAAAATAAGTAACAAAACATTAACTTTCATTCTTTTCCTTCCCCCCCCCCCCACCTTTGGAAGTCCAAGCAATACAATGACTAACAACCAAACAGTAAAAAGCATAAATAAAAAGCATGGGTAATCATAAATCAAATCATGCCATAGTCATGTCACTTATTTGATGATGTTTTGATCTTCTAGTTGTTATTTGAACTTTAATTATTTCTCTCCTTTGCAGTTAAACTGATACATTATATTCTTCCTGACACCATTTCTGATACAATACCAGTGACCTTTCTTCACTGAAGCTTTAATCCAGCTTTAGATATAGTTAATCTACCTATATGTGATTAGCAGTCCTTATGCCTTGAGCATCAGATAAATTATTTTCCCCTATACACTTTGACTTATAAAATTATATTAATGATCCACTGCAAAATAGTTGGTAGGCATTTCATAAAGGAGATAAACACTTTTTTTTTTTACTTTTTTCTTGTGACATCATATATAAAGTGCACAAATCTTAAATGTATAGCTAGGTCTAGCCTTGCCTGGGTAGCTTAGTTGGTTAGAGCATTGTCCCAATACCCTAAGGTTGCAGGTTCAATCCCAGGTCAGGGCAATACAAGAATCAATCAATGAATGCATAAATAAGTGGAACAACAAATAGATGTTTGTCTTTCCCTCTCTCTAAAATCGATTTTTTTAAAAATTTTAAGCCCTAGCTAGTTTGGCTCAGTGGACAAAGTGTTGGGCCCACAGACTGAAGGGTCGCAGGTTTCATTTCAGTCAAGGGTTTGCACTTCAGTTGCAGGCTCAATCCCTGGCCCCAGGTGTGGGACGCAACCGATTGCTATGCTCTCTTACATCTATTGCTGTGTCTCTCTTTCATCTATGTTTCTCTGTCTCTCCCCCTCCCTCCTACTCTTTCTAAAAACAAACAAAATCAATGGAAAAATATCCTTGGGTTAGGATTGACAAAACCACACACAAAAAAACAAACAAACGTACTCTCAAAATAAAATCACTAATAAAAGAGAAAGATGCAAATTGACCATACCTTCAGATGCCCACCAGCCAATCAAAAGTGAGTATGCAAATTAACCCAACAAATATGGCGGGTTAAATTGCATATGCTGGTGCCAAGCAGCTGGGGGTGGGGCAGGACGCTTGCATCATCACCATGGCGACGACGCAGGCATACTGCACCAGCCCAGCCGCTCTGGGCCTCTGGGCAGCGTGGGAAGGCAGAAAGGCGGCTCCGGGCCAGAGCAAAGGTGGTGCTGGCAGCCAGGGGAAGGAAGGCCCATTCTTGCATGAATCTTCGTGCATCGGGCCTCTAGTTTAAGAATAAAATAAAAATTTTAATGTGCAAAGATAGATGAAATTTTACATATGGACACTCTCATGTTACCACCACCAGATTAAAATATACAGTATTTCCAGTGCCCAGAGGTTCCCTTTGGTTCCCTTGTGCTCTCTCCCAGTCATACCTTTCACCCTGACATAAATACAAAGTGGCTAAACACTGTAACAGTATAATTTAAAGTTCAAAATTCAAAAACTATGCTTCTATACATAATACACAATAACTAGATTGAGTTTTAAAAAATTTTTTTTCTGATATTCCCAGCTAGTGAGGAAGAACTTAAATGTCTAAAAGTCTTCCTGTTTAATGAATCTTGTTAGTGTGGTGTACTTTTTAAAAAGCAATAAAACTCTGTTAACCTCGAAATATAATTTGGAAAATTATATACAATTATATTTGGAAATATAATTTGGAAAAAAGCTGGACTAAAGCTTTTTCCTTTTGTAGTGTCTCTTAATAGTGTAGGTTGTCTGTGCTTGTCTTTTTATAATAAAACTAGAGGCCTGATGTACAAAGTCCATGCACATGGGGGGGGGGTTGTCTCTCAGCCCAGCCTGTGCCCTCTCACAGTCCGGGAGCCCTTGGAGGATGTCTGACTGACGGCTTAGGCTCCCATGGGGAGCAGGCCTAAGCCATCAGTCGGACATCCTTAGCACTGCCACAGAGGCAGGAGAGGCTCCTGCCTTTGCTGCTGCGCCCGCCAGCCATGCGCCCGGCTCAGGGTATCTGGCTGAGCGGCACTCCATCTGTGGGAGCGCACTGACCACCAGGGGGCAGCTCCTGCATTGAGCGTCTGACCCCTAGTGATCAGTGTGCATCATAGTGACTGGTCATTCTGCCATTTGGTCGATTTGCATATTAGCCTTTTATTATATAGGATTAACAATTTTATGACACATTACTTAAAAGAACACATTTTCCACCTGTTTAAAAAGAGGTATCTTAACCAGAAGTAATTTCCCTATTCATTAGGAAAAAATCTAGAAGCATCTGTATTTAAAAGAAAATTTGAATTCAAATTTTTTTATCAATTTCAAGGAACTGAAAGTACTCTTCCCATTGGTTGTTCTGAATTAATGAAGCTTTCCCAGTGAGTTCTTCATATTCTGAGTGAGCAGAGTAATAGAGAAAGTCTGGATGATGACAAAACAACTGATATTTGATTTTCTTTGTAATATATTTTTTAATTTATTTCAGAGAGGAAGGGAGGAGAGAGACATAGAAACATTGATGATTAGAGAATGATGGATTGCCTGCCTCCTGCACGCCCCCTACTGGGAATCAAGCCCTCAACCCAGGCATGTGCCCTGATCAGAAATTGAACTATGACCTCCTGGTTCATAGGTCGATGTTCAATTCCTGAGCCACGTAGACCAGGCATATTTGCTTTTTTTTTTTAACCAAAAGGCCCTATAGCTATTTTGAATAGGTGTGCTTCTTGATTAACAAATCACTCTGTCTTCACTTCTGTCATATTAAATACCAATTTTACTTTACTGTTGATCTCTTTAAAGCATTTGTTGTATCCACTTCTCACTAATTAAAAACATTCTAACTTTAAAGACTTAGTTACAAAGAATGACTGGGCAGTGTAAAAATAGAGTTAGTGAAACAATCGTTACTACTTTGAACATATTTTGGTGGTTCTTCTAGAACCCATTACATTTTCAAAAAGTTAAGACTGCCTGGGCCACATTTTCTTTTGCTGACTACACTTGAGCAGAATTGAGAAAAAAGGAAGTAGCACTTCCTAAAATAATTAGACTTTTCAACTCATTATACTTAACCTCCAGAAGACAGATAGTTGGAAAACAAAACCTGTACACTAATCTAAAAACACCCATTAAACTTTTTCTGGCATGATCAATAGAACATTTACCAGGTGTACCAGTTAATAATGCAGATTTTGTAATCAAAGAAAACATGATAATTTCAAGAGAAATATCAAAGGTGCTTTATTCAAAGTAATGTCCATCACTAGCTACACATTTCCCCCATCTTTCAGGTAATTTGTAGATACTGTCCGAACAGAACTTTTCTTGTTTTGAGGCAAACCATTCAGAGACCCAATTTTCCACTTCTTTGTACATTTTGAAGTGCTGCTTAGAAAGTGTGTGTGCCATGGATCGAAACAAGTGGTAATCTGAAGGATCAAGGTCTGGTGAATACAGTGGGTGGGTTAATACTTCCCAGGCAAGATCTTTTATCGTGTCTTTAACTGGTTTTGAAGTGTGTGATGGTACGTTATCATGAAGCAAAATTACTTTGCCGTGTCTTCTGGCACATTCTGGTCGTTTCACGATCAAAGCGTCGTTCAAATTGATTATTTGTTGTCAGTAGCGATCAATATTA